CTTGCCTAGAGTTTGAAGTGCTGCTATTTAATAGGTAACATATATAGTACATTGGACAGAAAAAGCATATGGGCAGTTAGCACCCACAAGGATGATTACAGTTTAAGGAAACTAGGAAGAATTTAATAAAGCCTTAACAACACTTTTCTGGCGGTATGGACCTTTCAAAGGTCCTGCACCAAATTAGAAAATGCCCTGTTGCTTTACCAACACTTGTGACAGATTCAGGTTGTTCTTAATACCGCCATTTTAAGAATCTGCAGCTATGGCTGCGACAGATTCAAGAAGAACTAATGACAGTTTACAGATTAGAAAACTGGCAGTAATTAAGACCAACTTTGATCTGGCAAACAAAGAGATGCCAGTGCTCAGAGATGGGCATGCATATGCTGGAAGCTGTCATTGGTTGCTAGGACACTGGGCCATCAGTCCTAGCAACCAATTATGCATCCCCAGCACCGTTCAGCTGCTGGACAGGAGATTTCACAGCTAGCAGCTGAATGTAAACATAGGGGCTGTGGATGCTGGCTAATATCATTACCCTAAATATGGCCATATTTGGGTAATGATGTCCGCTAGCATCCCCCACTTATTTACAGGTGTGCACAGGTGCAATGGCTGGGCAGAGAACTCAGTAATGCTGAGTCTGTGTTTTAATTTGTGCCGGATGCCCTCGAAGCAGCCACATTAGTAAGTTTATGTTTGAAGCACATCTTGGGTAGGTTCGATGGAGAAAGTTCCCTGCAGAGGAAGGGACATGACTGATGAAGGTCAGACCTGAACTAGGAGGAGTTAGGAGAGTATTGGATGGAAGGGGATTCTTTTTCTGTTGTGTTTGAAAAGGAGGCAGGAGGGCCAGCTAGCGTAATGATAGGTGAGTTTAGCTTGGGGGCTCGAGTTAAGAGGGCCATCTTACTGCGTTGTATGAGGTAGGGAACCATTTTAGGTGGGAGAGAAAAGGAGTCAGTCCCGCACACACTCCCTGATAGTATTTAGGCTTGTTGCTTTTAATGTTTGCAAAGGGTTAGTTTCTGCAAGTGTGGAGTTTGGGAAGGAGGGTTACATTCTTTCTAGTTAAGGTTATGGGTATTCTTTTTTTCTAAATTATAGGTGGTATTTGTGCTTTGAGAAATATGGGTGACTTATTTTTCTTCTAGGTTGGCTGTGCATTGGGCAGGTCCATGGCGGTGCCATGCATCGCCGACGAAGAACTGGCTCTCCGCAAAGTGAAAAGGGATGAAGTAGTAGGTAAGTGCCAATGGTGGGGCTGCTGGGCTCTTTAGCTTGGTAGCCAGTAAGAACTTGGGCAACTGTTGATGGGGGTACCCACTTGGGCCGGTACTGGTACAGTAAATAATGGGTCAAGGTACATAAGTGGTGAGTTGAGTTTTTTGGCACTCGTCAGGGACCGAACTATTTTTTCTTGCTACATTGCACTATTTTCTGTGAGATTTAGTTTATTGATCACAAGTAATATTATTTTAGTATGTTTTGTTATTATTGTAAATGTTTACAATGGTCAACCTTCCAATAAATGTTATTATATTATGTTCTTTGAAATTGTTCACCTCATAGTTCTAGCCGACCTGTGACAATGAGACTGTCACAGGTCGGCTCAGTAGATCGGGAGGTGAGCGAACAGATACCGGGTTAGCTCGCCTCTCGATCCTGTCACGGCTCTCTGCCGTGACAGGTGGAGGGGCTGGATTCCCCCCCTCCCCGCTCCGACCTGCCAGCGCTGACTGGCGGAACGGACGGGGAAGGGGGCGGGTACAGCTGACTCTGCCTCTAGATAGGCAGAGCCAGCTGTCACTCACGCAGCTGGGCGGATCCCGTCATCTAAGTCGGGATCCGCTCCGGCTGCAGCGTCTCAGTATACCGCGAGCTATAGCTTGCGGTATACTGAGCTTAGGGTAACGGTGGGACGCTAGTTTGTGTCCTCCCGTTACCCTAAGGAGAACTATGGGGAAAAACACTGACCCCATAGTTCTCCTTTAATTAGTATTAATGATTTATGCCTGCGTCTAATTATTGCTTGTTTGTTTTATCTATGACCTGTGTTCTTTTTTAATCTGACATGACCAAAATTCTATAACATGAGCAACGGTAATTTGGGTATTCCCACTGTGTGCATTTTACCGATTATATCCAGTGGTTTTTCATGCATTACAGAAAGGGGTGTGACATTTTTTCATTTTATTTCATATCTGTGTTGTAGACCTGAGGAAGAGGGATGGTGTTGCCCCCAAAATGCGTTGGCTGTTTTGTAAAGTTGATAAACATTTATAGACACTGAAAAGTGTTTGGTCTGAGCCCTGGTCTCAGTTGTCAATTTCTGAGTGTGTTCAGTCCAAGGGATTTAAAAAAAAAAAAATGTAAATGTACCAGAACACACTGGAATGTGCTCAAACTCAAGCAAAACCAATAAAATGAAGAAAAAAATCTGTAATGCGTAAAAAATGCATCCAGAAACAGTCTGCAGATGGTGTGAACAAGCTCTCAGGGTGGCTCCTTTCCCTTGTAGGCAGGGCCGTCTTTAAGGCAGGGCAAAAAGGGCATTTGCCCCGGGCCCAGTCATTGCTGTGGGGCCCAAAGCAGCTGCCCCTTGACCACTTGTAGTGTCAGACTGCAAACCCAGCTCTGACTGTAACTCAGGAGGTGTGGGGGAGCAGGGGCAGAGCTCGGCAGCAAAGTGTTAATAAGCTGTGACAGTGTAGCAGGTGGATGGGGCACTGTCACAGGAACAATGTACTCAGCTCTTCAGATGTCTTGGGCTGTGTTTTCCCTGTATGCCTCTGACAGGAAGTTAGTGCTGATGATAAGAAGAGCCTCAGCTTTTGCCCGGAGCCAGCTAGGAGGTAATATTAAGTCAGATGATTGAGTGTTCCTGAGAGAGAGTGACGGTCCCTGCATGGACTGAGGGAAGCTTTGCAGCTGCAGACAGAGGGTGACAATCCCAGCATGGAGCTGTGTTCCACGTCCCCCCTGTCATCACTTTCTTCCAGCTCTGTCACATAGTCTGTGAATATTCATGGGGCAAAGACTAAAGTTAATTTGCACTTTTTTACAGCCAGATTGGAATAGAATCCTATTTTATATGTGTTCACCTTTTTACTTGCTGGATATTCTTATATTTCGACAATTGAATGTAATGTTAAGGACGGGGCTGGAAGTAATGTTCACTATAATTAACCCTGTGTGTACTGGCTCATGATCAGATGTACAGGACTGTCTGTACTAACAAAGGGTTAATGATCTCAGGTTTGACTGGTGCATTGCATATTACTGTCTCTCACTTTGCACGGTTAGTAGCTGGAATGCACTAGATCGCATAATAAAATTCTCCCTGCGTGCATGCATGGCCTATTTTTTGCGACTGCACTGCACCATGGGCATTGTTGTGCCATGTGTTCTGGTGCAGTTAAATGCAATGCAAGGCAGGAGACGTGGCTGTGGTGCCATTGACTTGAATGTATCACCAGGCCCTTCCTGCCCTAGAACACAGGGAACATTTTATGTTATACATGTTTATGTTATATGCAATACAGTGCATTCCAGCTACCAACGTACTGGAACACACTGGATTAGGTGTAAACAAGCCCGTTGATGTGATGGAAGCTGCCTGTAGAGTCCTGTGTGTAATCTGCTAAAAAACAAATAGAAAAGTAAGAAATACTTTGTAAATGTGAATTGGGTGTGCTATATGAATGGGAACATGTAACATATACAGGTGAAACTCGAATAATTAGAATATCGTGCAAAGTTCATTTTTTTCACGAATGCAACTTCAAAAGGTGAAACTAATATATGAGATGGACTCATTACATGCAAAACAAGATAATTCAAGCCGTGATTTGTCATCATTGTGATGATTATGGCTTACAGCTCATGAAAACCCCAAGAACCCCAAATCCACAACCTCAAAAAAGTAGATTATTACATGCAATCAATAAAACAAGGATTGTACATAGAACAATATCGGACCTCTGAAAAGTACAAGCATGCATATGTACTCAGTACTTGGTTTGGGCCCCTTTTGCAGCACTTACTGCAATTACTTTTGCACGATATTCTAATTATTCGAGTTTCACCTGTAGTAGGAGGCAGAAAATGCACTATATAGAAATGTCACCAGCACAGCAAATCCTTTTAGGATATATTTCTATATATTGCTGATGTTTTTGGCGCCATCCGCAGTCACTGCGGGCACCCACCCCATTACAAGGGACTTTCGGTAAGGAGTGTAGCAAGTAAAGATGTTTTTTTGTCAACTGTGTAGGCATAAATCCTTGCATTGGCCCTGCTGTACAGTGCATATTGTGACCATATGATGTCTCACAGGGTGAAGGGGGTGGGTGGGGGGAACCCAAGAAAATGTTTGCCCAGGGTCCAATTAATATTAAAGATGACCATGCTTGTAGGGTCCTATAGAGCCACCCACAAACACAGCTGCTCCCTCCTCCAGTCTGGTAGATGGACAGCTGCTGGAGTCTGCTCTGTCCCTTGTGATCTTGTACTGGACAGGAAGTTCTGTGAAGCAGAGAGTTGAAGCTGTTTAGAAACCTGGTGACTGTAAGTATTTGGGTAAAAATGTAAAGAAATACTTTGCTGGACAATGTATATTTCTTGGATCTGGATTCATTATTTTAAAAAAGTTGGAGAGTTTAATACTATATTAACCCTTACAGTGCAGAGGGAGCCCCACAGCAAGGGGGGGGGGTTACTTTTCTATGGAGTTGAGCTCAAACATTTGTGCAAATAATAAACATCATTCTTTTATAAAGAGGCCAAGTAATTAATGAAATGAAAGATATCTGGCATTTCAAATGATGCATTTATTTGTGAAATGTAAAATAGAACTCTGTTGATATGAATACGGTACATGAAGAGAAAAGTATCGCAATTGACATATGTCCCTTTAGTCCCTAGGGATGGCGAATAATGAGACTCGTGTCGTTCCCCCACCTCTGACTCATTGTGACGTACACCAAGCTCCTGTGTGTCTGCCAGTCCAGGTCTCTGCTTGTTTGCAGCTGTTCACTTGACTGCTAATTGAAACATTTATTCAGCCTTTGGGTGATACTAGTTGTGTGCTTCTGAAAAAGCTGCTGCTTCTGACCTAGAGAAACCAAATCGACATCTTACCTGACATCTACATCTGCTTTGGTAAGTTTGCTTTTAGTGCCTGTCACTTATTTGCTTATTATTATAGCTCTGCTCTGTGTCATCATCACATAGGTCCTGTATTGTTTGTTTCCCTGGCTTTCTTCCTGTGTACTTGTTGCCACTGTCATTACAAGACGTGGAAAAGGCTTCCTTTTATGTTTATTCCTGGATTTTAGGGTTTGTTTGATTTCAAAGTTCTTTCTTATGTTATTACTAATAAAAGTCAATAATGTAAGAGAGAACAAAAAATAGTCTTCCAGCAATGGATATAGGGAATATAAAAGATGTGTTATCTTTAGATGAAGTTGCTACTAATGTGCATTGCGTTGAAGCGCTTCACAGTACATTTTTTAGGCACTGTTTGTGACAGTCAACGCACCCAAATGCAGCATGCAGAATGTTTTCCCAACAGGCTACAATGCATTGCACTGGTGGAAATTGGGTAAATTGAAAACTATGTTTGCTCATGTCTGTGCAATTTGCCAATCTTGGAAATCTGTGCATATAGTGGGAACCAGCCCTAAACTACTACCCAACTGTGACTGTTTGATATGTAAGCTTATTCTGTTTAGCTTGAAAGAGAGACAACTCCAAACAATAGTAGGAGCAACAAAATGGAGGGGAGACGGTGCTAGTTATGTGTATGTTTCATGGAATAAAAGTCTAAACTGCAGAAACACAGTTACTTTATTTCTTCCATCCGGGCGCGTCTGCTGTCTCGCACATACCTTTTTTGGGGGCATTCTTTTCTCATCTCTCCCTTGTTCTGTTTAGGCTAAAGCCAATATGTAAATAAAGTGACCCATGGCAAATAATCAGCAATCATTTAATTACCATGCCAGCTAATAAGTGATAAAGTGACATCTGGTTGCTATGGGCTACTGCACTTTGCATACTGTGGATGGTTTATGCGAAAGAACTATATTATGCAAAAGAACTGTCTTTTAATTTTTTTTATTTTATTTGCACACTGTGTGTGTGTGTGTGTGTGTGTGTGTGTAATATATATGTGTGTGTGTGTGTGTGT